TTAACGCAAATCACTTTTTCAAAGTGTTGTTTTGAGTATCGTTATCTCGAAAGTTTTTGAATACATATAAACAACATTGGACACGCCTTACGTGGAAAACTAAAGAAATCTCATTAATTCATCTATTTATTTTTTATTTTCATTTATCAATTCACAGGTAAGCCAGGAATCGTGTATTTGTCTCATTATACTATACCCTGCACGGCTATCATTGCAGCTATCAAACTACACTAAGCGTCCCAAAAAAAATGTATATAATACACATAAGGTACGTGAATGTAATATGGTCACCTTAAGCTTTGACGCCCTATAAGACCAAAATTAAACCAAGGACAAAGACAACAACACAAAGTCGTATACTATAACTAATATTAAGAAAAAAAAAAGCCAACAAGTTTTGGCAATAATTAAGAACACTTTGAAAAATGAATTTAAAAAATTTGCTACACTACACAATAAATAACCGTAGCCGTTGCAGCTTACGGATTAATGCTCACCATACCGAGCAACGCACGTTCGATTCCCGCTGGCACCAAAAACATTGCTAATTTAAAATTTCAAGTGCTGATTTATGACGTACTTATCAGTGAAAGAAAACATCGCAAGGAACCCTGTATGAATAGGGAATAAAATATTCTCGAATACATGTGAAGTCCGCCAGCACGCACTGGGATATTTTTTTAATAAAATATGAGTGACAAACGGGCACACAGTTCTTGTAATGGTAAATCGTTACTGTGGCCCATATACATCTAAATTTATCCTCAATTAAGAATCAAAATACAAATGCGTTGTCAGCCGTGAGGACTAAGTGGAATGCCTCGTTTCCAGTAAAGTAGTAAAGGGTCTCCGGTTCTCTACACTTACTAAACGAAACACAGACATAGATAGAGAGGATCTAAACATAGATCTCCTCTCAGAAGAGCAGACCTCTGCCTAGATGTGAAACTACGTATTATAGTCTGTTAACTTTAATACTTCCGTGTAAACGAAAACAAGAAAACCGTCACCATTAAAAAATACCCAATAGTGTTTACGTAACGCCCGCTATAAAATATGAGCCGTTTGCGGCAGCAGCTGTGACCTTACAACCTTTCACTTTCTAGGCACAAAACCGCGGTTCACGCTCAAACTAACAGTGTCGACATCATAAAATACGAGAAACGGTCCTTTTATATAGGTCATCCTCATCATCCGGACCTTGTTTTCACACGTTGCTCTTAGGGCCAAAGAAGAAAGATAGACAGGAAATTTCGTACATTTAAAGACGACGATAAAACCATGTTCCAGTTCTTAAAATTCTTAACGCTCTCACACACAATTTCTTCTTTCTTTCTTATAACAGCCCGTAAAAGATACAAGTGGGTTTTTTGATTTTTTTTTTAAATATAAGACAAGGGGACAAAGCATGCGGCTCACCTGATGGTAAGTGGTTACCGGCGCCCATAAACAACTGCAACTCCAGGGGAATTGTAGGTGCGCTGCCGGCCTTTTAAAAACAGTGGGATCTTTTCTTGAAGGTGCCTAGGTCATATCGGTCCGGCAAAATCGCTAGTGGTATTCAATTCAAAAAATACTACCAATGTTGATAACATTACCAAATATGCCTAGCTTAAATTGCTAGTGAGGTTCAAGTTATGTAGTCGAATGTCGGATTCGAAGCCACATTTTTAGTTCGCGGTCCGCATCCTACCATTATGCTACCGTCGCTTAGCCTAAAGATATATAAGAAGGTAGAGGGTGGATACATATAAATCATATAAAGAATGTAATTGAAAAAACCGCTCAGGAATCAGGACCCTTTTTACTGGAAACGAGGCGTTTCATCTTAGTCATCAGTGGTGACAACGCATTTGCATTATTATTTTAAATCGAGGAAGAATGTAGATGTCTATGGGCCGCAACTTCCATATACCATGAGGTGGACTGTATGCTCTTTTATTACCCTTATTATATAAGAAAAAAATCATCAAGCTCATTGTCACAAATATGAAAATAAAAATTTATATTCAAAAGCAGTGGTCATTATCCAGCCTTGATAACGAGGAGCTGAGGCGAATAAGAGCATTCCTCCATCTGCCAATATTAACCATCATGTAGCTTAGGGTCATCGACCAACTTGGAACTCGTTTTGAACACCTACGTAATACGAGACAGGTGCTCGTCCTTAAAAGTTTAAAACCGCTTGTGAGCTTGTGACGAAGCGCGATTATAACAGGTTAAAGTGTAAGGTAAACATTACTTGCGTCTTACACTATTGACACTATGTTATGGACTCGTGACCTTTGACCGCCCAATGATTTTTTGAAGTGAAAACTTCTTTAGCGGCGTTGTACACTTTTTTGTAATGGGTAAGAAATGTTAAACTCGCGTCAGGACACGTGACCCTGATCGAAAATTCGTAAGACGGATGGAGAGAAAGAGACAGCCGGCGCAGCGTAGGAGAGGAAGTATCCCCCTCTCTTTCTACGGCGCGGCTAAAATGTATGCCTGCTCCTGATGTTTCGTTTAGGCGGCGCAGGGCGCTTGCGCGAATGTTTGTGTGTGATAATTAAAGCAATTCGTGCAAAATTATTTCCTTATCATTTAAAAATATCAAAAATGCACAACGTAATGCGCAAAACACACAAGTCACTTCTGCCGGCACTCCCGGAGTGCAACCCGTCGTTTTTTTTTTAATAGAAGAGGGTGCACACGAGCATACGGCTCAACTGATGGTGAGTTTCAACCGCAACCCATGAACAACTACAACACACCGGCCTCAATCAGTGATAGTTGTATTCGATGTTGCCTCTGATGGTATTAGGCCCGCCACATTCATACGAAATTCCGTTTCGAATTCCGTTTCGTAATTCCAATTCGGGATTCCGGAAGCAGCAAGTTCATATAAGATCAATGACCCGTCACACACTTACGGTAGTGTTCCGTTCGAAATTTTGCGGTAAAAACAGGATTCCGTATGTTCCGCCGTTCGTTCCGTTCCGGAACGTCGCCACGACAACAGTCGGTCTGACCCGCCGCTATAGATGTTTCACATCAAAACTAAGCTGAAACTGTAATGTGGCTACACCTTGAATCTTCTTAATATACAAAAAATTATGTTTGTTCGTATTTTATGTGCTGCCATACCGTTCATCAGATTGCGGTAAATTTTTGTCAACATATTGCACGCATTGCCGCGATTTATAGGCATAGTACAATTACTTACAATGGTTGTCCGGGCGTATCCTACCGACAATTTATTTCAAATATATAGATCATTCAAATTCACAAATTTTTTTTATTATTCCCAATTAAACAATATAACCCTTCGAAATTTAAAAATAAATATCCAAAATTATTTCTTCTTCACCTTCAACGCAAAAATTAGGTCGGTACCACCGGGGCAGAACAGCGTGGAATGGTGTCATAATGATGCTGTGTTTCGTATGGTGAAGAATTGCGTCCTAGTTTTTAGATTTTTATTTAAATAAATCTAAGGGTGACAAAACAACCCGCAATCCAACTTACTTAAATACGGTGGCTCAAAATCAAAAGATTAAAATGTAAATAAAATAGCGGCTCAATGTTGTTGTGTTTCATATGGTGAATGTAGAACCGGAGATCTTTTTTACTGGAAATGAGGCATTCTTATCTTAATCCTCAGGGGTGACCACGCATCTGCATTTTGATTAAACGAAAAGATATGTAGATCTCTATGGGCCACAGAATCCATTTAAATCAGGTGGACTGTGTGCTCGCTTGTCACCCTTATTCTACAAAAAAGACCAGTCTTGGTTCTCGTCAATCAAAATAAGACTGTGAGTTCGACAAATAAGCACTTTATGTCTGATACTACGTGGATACCTAGAACTAACACCGTACATCTATAATCGATTAAGAATTAAAATACAGGTGCGATGTTTCTAAAGTGTGCGATCGAATCAGAAAAATGAGGAACTTGGAAGATGTAAAGTTATCCAAGGGGATTGTTTCTATTATCTACGCTATACATTTGCACGAAGAATCAAGAAAAATAAATAAAACATAATTTGTTTACACAATCGTTTGCACAGGGTCGATGTATATATTTGCATTCAATAAGTAAAGTTCGGAGAAGTAATTTAGCTATGAAAACATTACGTTTTTCAAGTTTAAACAATGTTTTAATATAAACTCGAATGGTACTGAAATAGTTAAACGTATTAAAGAATATTCAGTACATTTCTATAGAATGAAGCTGAAAAACGAGAACACGGTCCTCTTAATGTAAAAAGGATGTCGTGGTCCATAAATATCTATCCTTTATTAAGAATCAAAATGCAGATGCGTTTTCTTATACGATAGGGTGACAAACGAGCACACAGTTCACCTGATGACAAGTGGTTGCTGTGGCCCATAGACATCTACATCTGTCCTCGATTACGAATCAAAATGCAGATGCGTTGTCACCCGTGAGGACTAAGATGGAGTGCCTCGTTTCTAGTAAAAAGGTCTGTGGCCGTGGAGGAAAGGAGAGATCTCCCGCCGGGCAAGGTGTTCTGCCCGGGGAGCGGCCAACGCTTCGTGTAATAATTCGGAAATGTTCTATATATACCGTTTATGATTCGAATTTTGATAGCGTGATTTAGGCTTCGGTATGTTTAGCTTGCGGACAACGCCGCCACAGGTCTCCGGTTCTCTACACTCATCATACCAAAAACAGCAGCATTGAGCTACTATTATACGCTGGTATTCTGTGAGAGCGTGGCCCTTCCCCGGTCCAGCTGACCCATTCGTGCTACAAATATACAACTAATATAACCGCAGCATAGCTCTACCACATTGTCAACCCTGAGGAAGATGATAAAATGAGAACTAAGATGGAATGCCTCGTTTAAAGTAAAAAGGGTCTGCGGTTCTCTACACTCACAATACAACACACATTAAGCTGCAATTTCACAACATACAACCACAATATAGCTGCTGCGTGGTTCTACCACCTAAAGACACTTATACCTTTAAAAAATTACTTATCTTACCTTAAAATAAGTATGAAGCCTGTACATCTGGCGGTGGTCCTTGACGGGGTGCAGAGTGATAGCGCGGTGAACCTCTCGCCGCTTCAACGTGCCGGTGTAGGCCGCGGAGCCGCTGCCGTTGTGATGCAGGATCGTTTGCATCTGGAAGTTAATGATAATGGTTTTCATTAAAATGCAACCTTTAATTTTAAATAAAGTTTTAGTTTCATAATTTTATCATTGTTCTAATTTAATGTTACTACTAGGTACTTATTATTTTTTAAGTAATTATTTTTTGTTTTGATTCACTGAAGATTCACGCTTCGAAGATCGTAAGAGGACCGGTCGACCTCGTACAATTATCGGCGCGAATCTATGGAAATCCTGTTCGTAAACAAAATATCTTAGCTCTTCAGATGGGCCTAAGCAGAATCACGGTCAATAGAGTGATCAATGTAGACATTATCCTTCGTCACTCATGGTTTGGCTTGGAGTCTCATATTCAAGCTTAACTGAGGTGTTTTTCTGTGAAAAAGGTGTAAAAACCAGTGCCGAGGTGTACCGAAATACCGTCCTATCAAACATAGTGAAACCTCTTTGTCAAACAATGTTAAAAAACAGACATTGGATATTCCAACAGGACTCTGCACCAGTTCATAAGGCACGAAGCACGCAAAACTGGTTGACCGCCCATGGAATTAATTGACTTTATCCGACATGAAGACTGGGCCTCTTCTAGTCCAGATTAAAGCCAACTGGATTGGCCGCGTCAATTAAGGGCATGTATTCAAAATAGGGGAGAGCATTTTGAATAATGTAAATAAAGTTGCGTTCTTAATAAAATTACCTTTTGTATCATATATAATTTCTATATAATTATCAAAAATTTGTAAAAACTAGTTTTATTTAAATATAGTTCGCGTAAATAATTATATGAAATCATTACTTTTTATGCTTTTTATGTATTGTTTTGTTTTTAATTGTCAATTTAGTAATTACTTTTTATGTTTCTTAATTAATGAATTGTTTTTGAATTTTAATTACTTTTATTATTTTTACGTTTTTCGTGAATGGAGTAATTTTTGATTGCTAAATATTTTTTATGTTTTTACGAATTAGTTGTTTTTTGTTAGCAATTAAATTTTTATTTTATAAATCGGCTAATCCTTTTCATGTTTTTATGAATCAATTGTTTTTGGTTGGTAATTAATGTCACTACGTTCTTTTTATCTCTTTGTGTCTGCCATAAAATATGTAGTGGTACATTAGTCGTTAGTGTTTGTTTTAGTCTGTACGAATGTAAAATGGAGCCGTAATAAAGTTAATTAAGAAAACACATCCAACCTTTAACTATAATATCCTTTATTCTTTAAAATGGCTAGACAAGTTTCACATCAAAAGTAAAGCTTTAGTTACGTCTAAGATGCGGTTAAATTAAATTAATTACATAACTAGTCAAGTCTTTTTATTGTATTAAATTATCAGACGAGTTAACTGTCCACCTAATGTTAAGTAGCCAATGCAGTCCATGGTCAAGTGTAACCAACTTCAACCGAAGAGGGATACAGTTACTTCTTTAATCCTGGGAACTAAGATGAAACGTTTCATAGACTGTAATTATATTCCTTTATCCTTAAGGGGAAATATAATGTCAAATGGCTTAGCAAGATCCTTCGTTATGCCGAAAATATTGCAGCATTAATTTTGAAATAAGTATATGGTAAAGTTGAGGATTAATGTTAGTGATTATGTTAGACGAAAACACGATTTCGTAAAATTTTCTCGATAGAAAAAAAATCCAAAGTTACCTCCAAAATAAACAATAAACCGCTGTTATTCATAAAATACTTTAAATAAGATCATGAAACTTTGCATACTAACTGAACTAACTATAAAGCAGTGCTTATGTTATTTACTTTTTTTAAAATACCATTATTTTAACTGTAAAGAGAAATTACCTAAACTATCGTCCTCTTGAAGCTTGATTCCCGTCGTTCCGTTCCGTTAGTATCGCTTCGGCCTTTAAAGGGACAAGTTGTGTCGCTTACGATCAGAATATACATTACGCAACAGTACTACGTAAAATTAAAATGGGAAATAACCGTGATAAAAATAAGAAGCGGCTGGCTTGGCTTTAAGAAACAGGCATAAATATGATAAACCTAATGAAATAAGTGTCTAACGACCTTTCTACTTACAGTATTAGTGATTACAAATATTTCGGTACATAGCATACGACGCGCGGGGAAGTGGGGGCGAAATTAGAATTTGAGCTGACTTACTCTCACCTCTTAAAACTGAAACCGAGAAGTAGGTCTTTACATGGTAGAGCCACGCTCCAGCTATATTATAGTTGTAGCACGAATGGGGCGGCACGACCGGGGTAGGACCACGCTCTCACAGAATGCCAACGTAAAATAGCAGCTCCATGCTGCTTTATTTCGTATGTTGAGTGTAGAGGAATTTCATCTTAGTCTTCACGGGTGACAACGCATTTGCATTTTGATTCTTAATCGAGGATAAATGTGGATTATTCCACAGGAATTGTCTCATAATTTGTATCAAGGTTTATAATAAAGTTCTTAAAATATTCGTGAACAGCCATTAAGGCGAATGAAAAGAGTTTAAAGCAGTGGCTAATAAATACTGCCTTTTATAATATCAATGAATTCTTTAACCATAAATTTTGATTTTATTTTTCATTGATTTTACTTAACTAAGTAAATTACTATAGATCCAGGATTTTGCGTGATTGTTCTCAAATGAACAAAAATTATTTTTTTCTAATTTATTTATGTTTTCCTAAACACATAAATATAATCATTACAGTGTTTATTTCTACTTTAATTTGTTTATTTTAATTTTGTTCATTTGTTTTCAACATACTTATTTTAAACAATTTTTACGCATGCCACAAAAGACAAAACATGTGGAAACAAATATTGACTCCGTATCCAGCCGTCTGTAGCCATGTTTTTAGCGAAATAAATGATTTGATTTGTTTTGATTTGATGTCTATGGGCCACAAATCCACTTATCATCAGGTGGACTGTGTGCTCGTTTATCACCCTATTCTATGAAAAAATATCATCTCCTGCTCGGTGTATACGGATATTACCAAGAGGGTTGTTCAAGACTCGTAGACAGAAGAAGCCCTACTAATGCTTAAAACCTGCGCCACTAATAACAGTTAATATTTAAGTAATGAATAATCAAGCTTAATGGTTATAACTTATAACAATAATTTAAAAAACCTGGTTGCGTTTTAATACTAATTTTTTTTTATAGAAGAGGGGGCAAACGAGCATGCGGCTCACCTGATGTTAAGTGACTACCGCCGCCCATGATCAACCGCAACACCAGAGGATTTGCAGGTGCGTTGCCGGCCCTTTAGAAAGGAGTAAGCTCTTTTCTTGAAAAATCACCGGTGGTAAACTATTCCACAGAGAGGTCGTACGCGGAAGAAAATTCCTTGTGAAACGTACAATGGTGGACCGCCAAGCATTCAGATGGCGTGGATGGTATCGGGACGTTTGCCACTTAGTGCGTTCACGAAAGTTATCGGCTGGGATTAATCCGAACAATTCCTCAGAGCAACTCTCCATGGTATATGCGAAAGAAAATGCAAAGAGATGCAACATCTCTTTGCAGCGCCAGTGAATCGAGCCGATCGGAAAGCACTCGGTCGTCGACGATTCGAGCCGCTCTGCGCTGGATGCGGTCAAGTGGAAGGAGCTGGTATTGGAGAGCTCCAGCCCAGAGATGGAAATAGTATTCCATGTGCGGCCTAACCTGCGCCTTGTAAAGTTGCTTTGCTGAGCACGCCAAGCTTCTTAGAGGCCAATTTGGCCTTCTCTTCCAAGTGACCACGAAACTGTACGTCACTCGATATGTCGACGCCGAGGATTCCGAACAAGTAGGCAACAAGAGGAGTGCCTTGAAACTGAGGAGATACGACAAAGGGGTTCTTTTTAGCGGTTAACGCGCAGATTTGTGTCTTCTGAGGGTTAAACTGGACTAGATTTAGTCGCCCCCAATCCGAGACTCTGTTCAGCAAAGACTCGACTTCGGACACAAGTTTGTCCCGGTACTCGGAGACGTTTTCGCGAGAAATATTGGCACGGCCGATGTACAGAGCATCACCAGTGCTGTCATCTGCATAGCAACGAATGTTACGGGTTTAACGGAAAGAACCAGCGTTGGCGATAGCACGCATTAAAGTAGAAATAACCACCTAATAGTACCTATTAATTGGCTTGTAATCGGAGCTTGCACCGTCTACAACGACCTTGATGCTTCGATCTGCAAGAAAGCTGGTGATCCAATTGCACAATTTTTCGGGAAGCCCATAGGAAGGGAGCTTCGAAAGAAGCGCTTTGTACAAAGCCCAATCGAAGGCCTGCGCAATGTCAAAACTAACGGGCAATGCCTCCCCCTTGGACTTTACTGCCTCCGCCCATCTATGAGTTAGGTAGAACAGGAGATCACCAGCTGATCGATCACGGCGAAAACCGTATTGGTGATCACTAATCAGCTGGTGATCTTCAAGGTACCTTATGAGCTGGCAGTTTACAATGGAGTCCATTGTTTTGGAGAACAAGAAGGTGATAACGATAGGCCGGTAGTTGGACGGGTCTGAGCGGTCGCCTTTTTTTAGGGATCGGGTGGACGAAAGCCGTCTTCCATGATTTTGGGACTACACCTAGAGAGTAGGAGTACCGGAAAAGACGCGTTAAAACCGGTGCCAACTCTGGAGCACGCGTCCTCAGTACAATTGGGGGGATTCCGGCAGGCCCACTCGACTTGTGTGTCCAGGGAGAGGAGTACTTTGCGAACCGAGCACTGGGTGAACTGCACTTCCGGCATGGAGCAGTCACACCGCGGGATGGTCGGCGGCGTACTCCCCCCGTCATCGAGAGTCTAGTTGGACGCAAAGAAAGAGCTTAGCAGATCGGCTTTCTCCTCTGCGTATGGGCCAGTGAGTCGTCCTCCCTGTGCAGAGATGGAAGAGATGGCTGACAGAAATTCCCCTGGACAGCCTTGGCGAGAAACCAGAATACACGGGTTCCAGAAGGAAGGCGAACTAGTTTGTCGCCAATTCTGCCTATGTGCTCTTACTTTGCCTTGGCAATGACTCTTTTGAAGGACCAGGAGGCAGTAAT